ATTTGCGATATGTAAAAGAAACATTCAAATGTCGATTAAAAATTTCATTTGTACGTTGTACAAATTTTTCGAGAATGTTCCATATATATATAATATATTCTGCAACATTTCAATTTTCCAAAAATTCCAAGTCAGTTCACTTGTGAATCAATTTTTAAATAAAATTTTATTTTGGAAAAGAGAAAAATTTGCAAAAATTCCCGATATTTTTACAGTTGTATTTTTAGAGTTATAAAAATAAAAGTAAAGCAAGATAATTATTACATGTAGGATTAGAAATGAAAGTGATCTTCAGCATACGAAACAAAAAGCAGGCAAAATGAAACGTAAGACAGCTACGAATAATATAAACTGAAAAGAGCATTAGCTTATGAAGGCAGCGGAGTAAAAGATTTAAGCGACATTTAATATGAAATGAAAGATCTTCCAAATTTCACAGACTTATATTTTCTCCGAGGTGATTCTTGTTTACGAATAAATGCTCTTCGTCGCGGCTCTTTGTCGGCGAAGAAGTGTACTATTTGCTTGCTCGCTCGCGATTTTCGTGAAATATACAAGAAGTATTCACACAATATTCTGAATATTTCATCGACATTTACACATTCTGTGACGATTCTTTTACTGTTGCGGAACGTTCGGTACATTGGTATACGAATCGAACTTTCTATGAATATTTAGCGGTGGCTGGGTACATATTTGTTTTATTATTATTAAACAAATATTTTGTTATAGCTTTCATTTTATAGCTCTCTGTGCTTATAATAAAAATACATTTATCTACTGATAATTCCATCATACCTGTTATCATCAAGGTATCATTTTACCGTAACATTTTGGAATATTTCCGATTTATTTTATGCTCCCGCTTTATTCTGTATCCTTTATTTTTTTCTATCAAATTGCAAACTAAGAAAAAAAGTCGAAATATTTGCAAATAAATATTATTTATGTGACGTTTTCTGCGATATTAGTTATAAAAAATTTTACTATGATAACGAAATACATTTCTGTGAAATATATCATTAATTATAAAAAAAAATAAAATAGATAGTTTATTTACTAGGAAATTTATGTTTGCTAAAATTTTATTTCATCGTTTTACTGAAATAAGAATTTATTTCAGTAAAATAAATATAATATCTCACAAATAAATTTTTAAGTGTTTTTTTTTTCAGAGACACACGGGGGTGGATTATGTACACAGATTTTTCCTTCATCACTCCTTTACACAATTGCGATTGTGGTGTAACCCAGACAATGAAAAATCTAAAATCGAGACATCTTAAAGACATCTTTAAAAAATCTTTGAGATGTCTTTCTGCGTCTCGCTTTTGGACATACGTGTTGTCTGAAAACGTAATAATGAAGGATCACGAGAGTATCGGCGGGTCATTCGCACGCAAGGATCACGAGTACGAGCACCGCTGCCGTCACCGTGGTACTCATACATCGGCCGATGACTATCGCATCAGCTTCGGAGTCGGCGTTCTGTGATGGTAACAGCATCGGCGTCGGCGCAGCGTCCGCGGAGCGCTAGGTAGCTTCGCGTCGCGGCGCTTCGCGTCGGCGTCGCTGGAATCGTCCGCGAAACAGGCAGACAGTGGTGGCCAAGGCACCGTAAGCGCGTGTAATCGCCATATTGGCCGAACTCCGGACGATAGCACCTCGCGGGTCGTGGAGCTTTAAAGCTTCCGCGGTTGCTGCTCTTCCGACCATTGCCTGCGTCGGTACGGTCATAATAACGGGGAAAGCACATAAAGTGGAGCGAGGGCAAGCGGTCCCTGTGCGGAAAAAGAGGCGGCGAGGAAAGGACACGCGATAATACCGGATACGCCTTCGAACACCGCATCGAACAGCGAAAAAGAGCTAGAGAGAGAGAGAGAGAGAGAGAGAGAGAGAGAGAGAGAGAGAGAGGGAGAGAGAAAGATAAGGATAAGATATAACACGCGGACATAGCAGTGACAAGTGTTATACGGATACATAAACCAAGACAAGGAAGAATCGCAGCGATCAATCACGGGGGTACATTCAAATATTAATATCGATCTTCCTATATTCTGGGTATATATATATATATATATATACAGAAAGTCTGAAATTCA